TCGGCAGGGAATTTGAGGGTAAGAGTCAAGTGGAAAAATAGGGGAGCGGCGGTGAGAAAAGACTATTTAGAGGGGAGATGCGATGGCGACGAAGAAGCGAAGAGAGACTGGGAAGTGTGTAGATGGGAGATAGTATAGAAAAGTAGGAGGAAGGAGAAAAAAATGAGTTTGACGGGAATTCCAAAAGGGGGAATTCTAAAGGAAGTTGACAGGTGTGACAACGGGAAAGTTGAGTGCAAGAGCCAAGTGGTGGGAAATAGTGAGGTTGTGTAGCAACAGGGAGAGAAAGACGTCTAATGATATAGCGGTATAGTTGCGGGGAGACACGGGCAAGTGCGCAAGTCATGAGCAAGAGAGAAGTACTGACGGGATTGGCGTGGTAGGAATATGGAGGAAGAGTGGAGGGACGTAAAGGAGGAGTAGTATTAAAGGATCATATTGTGAAGAGGCAGTGAAAGAAATCGGTGTCATCAGGTTACTGAAGAGATGGTGGCGCTGAAGCAAAGAGAGAAAGAGGAGTGTGTGCGTGAGGAGATGATAGAGAAGTACGAATACTAAAGGGCCATTAATCGGGAGGTACGATGTGCAGGGTTTTGGAAAGAACAATAAACGGAAAGATGAATGAGGAGTGTGACGGCAGAGACGTTGAGGGAGAGGGAGTGTGACATTTCGGGGAAGAAGTGACTAAATGCAACGTGGCGAGAGACGTAGGCGCAAAGAGATTAGATGCAGTTGAAAGACGTGGTGGACGCTCGGCAGGCATTAAGTACAGTGGAATGGTGTGGTGTTGAGAGGGAAGCGGGTAGGAGTGTTCGACGACGTACGGCGGTGTGAGGTAGAGGTGAAGGAAGTTGAAGCTCGGAAGAGACGGCAGGAGAGGAGGTGGAGCAGAGAGATTGAGTGGCAGATAAATTGCAATGTGTTAGCCTTTTATGGCCGGAATGTGTATCGAAGAAGATTGGGTGGCGGGAAGGTAGCAAAGGAATAAGGTGGCCGCAAGATTGTGGAGAGGAGAAATGGGGAGTTTGAGAGGCCGGTTAGTGGGTGGTGAAGAGACTGGGCGGCGAGAAGATTAGGTGTTTGAGAAATTGACCAGTGGAGAGACTGAGAGGGGGAAAATTGTATAATGGTGAGATTGGCATGCCGCGAGGTTCGATGGTGAAGAAAAGTCAGTTAGGTAGGAAAACGAGGCGGAGAGGAAGAGAGGCGAAAAAAAG